TTCCCCTCGTGTGAGGGGTCGAGGGCTGGCCGGCCCGGGCCCCTCCGAGGGGTTTCAAGGTCGTCGAGGAGGGCGGACGTGTCCTCCTCCTCGCTGTCGTCCTGGTCGACGTCCATCGGCCTTTCCGCTTTTCTCTTACCGAGGTAAGAGCTGCTGGATAGGGACGTCGACGACGCTATGGACGAGACGGAGTCCGAACGAGTTCGGACTCCGCTCGTCGCCCGGGCTTTCGATGATGCCGGGCCGGGTCTAGCGAAAACGGTGTCAGGTAGGCTAGACCCTGTGTCCAGTTCCGGCAATCCGGAACCACCAGCGGTGGAATGCGGCTTTCTCCTTCCATCTCTCGCTCCAAAGGAGCCTCCTTCCTCGTCGTGGTTTTGTTATCAATACTCATTTTGTTCCCACGAGTAAGGACGAAGCATACTCTCCCCCGGGTGACGCCATTCCGGGGGAGAGGGCTATATACGACGGGGTGCGCCAGGTGCCCCGAAGTTGGTCGCTAGACAGGACTTCCCCCCTGCCAACGCATCCCTTCGCCGCGTACCACAGCTCAGGATTGGGGGTGGTTTTTTATAGAGGTCCACATCCTCGCGGCCCGGGCGGTGAAGCCAAGGCCCCCGGTCCCCAGAGACATGACCGTAGGGTTCCGGTGTGAGCGGCCCGGGAGAACACCTCCCGGGACAGGGACGCCGTTAGCCCCCGAGGCCTCCTGCGGCCTCGGGGGAGCCCCTCTGCCACGGCAAGGCCGCGTCCATGAGAGGGGAACCTAACCTAACCTAACCTAACCTAACCTAACCTAACCTAACCTAACCTAACCTAACCTAACCTAACCTAACCTAACCTAACCTAACCTAACCTTAACCTTTTTTTTTTTTTTTTCTTGTACGTGGAGAAACCCTTCATGGGTACCCCCCCATCCCGGGGAGGATGGGGGGGTTATGCCGGACTCTTACCGGCTAAAACTCCACGGGTGTCCGCCCTCTGCGCGTTTGGACGGGGCCACCCAGGGAACGCTTATCGCATGACTTCCTGGGTGGCCCCCGCGCCCGCCTAAAGGGCTCTATCCCAAGGGGGGAGAAAGAGAATTATCCTCCCCTCTCGCTGGTTTTGGCCAGCCTTCCTATTAGACTTATTGTCTCGGGCGGAGGAGGGGACACCAGCCCCCTCCGCCCCGCCCCCCTAAACGTTGGGGGGCAGAGGCGCTTCGCAGGTCGCCCGCCTGCTCCGCGCCCCCCACGTCCGGCGGCGGTCGGTCCCCCCCTACGGGGAAAGAAAGACCGACCGCCGCCGGACTCCATCTCGCGCCCGTCCCGCTTGTAGGGACCGGCACGCTCCGGCCGGC